ATAATTAAAATCTATTTTTTTTATTAATAACAATATACAATGAATGATATTTCTACACATTAAATTATTAAATTAATTTGATTTATTATTGTACAATACAATCTTTAGATTGTTTTTTTAGTTCAATAATTTCTTCAAACTCTTTATTAGTTATTCCCTTACCCAATCTTTTTTTTTTTGCATCTTCGTTACCTTTCTCGGCAGCCTAGATATGGATGATTTAAAATACACTACCTACCCAAAAGTTTCGGTCACCCTAAATTGATGAATTGCGCAAAAGCGTACATAATAATTGCACAAAAAATTTATATTTTTAGTACCTTTGTAAACCATTCATTTGCTATTTGAACATTTGCAGGCACATGGATTCCCGCATCATAAAAATATCCCATCATAAATTCAGCTTCTGCAATTCCTTTTAATGCAGCCTTTTCAGTGTGTTCATAAGCTAAAGCTTCATCTGGATCAAAACAACCTTTAGCTCCACAAAGATACCATCTACTCAATCCCAAGTCTGCCTTTTCTTCGCCCACTTCTGAAGCTCGTTTATAATATGAAATAGAAAGTAAAGGATCAAATGAACAAGTAAGTCACTTATACTCGTAAAAATGCCCCATTTTGTATAAAGCTGGCCCGTAACCTAAGTTTGCAGCTTTTTTTATGAAGTCCTTGGCTGCATAATCAACTGGCTAAACAACATCAGCCGGAATATTCGCCTTTGTATACTGTTTGGCTAACAAAATTCCATAAACATATGCTACTTCTGGACATTCTTCGTCTGCTTTTACCGCTGCTTGTTTCAAATATATTAAGGCTTGTTTATGATTACTTTCTTGTTTCAAATCACCCAGCATATCAATTTGAGCAAGTCTCTAATTGAACAATAAATCAATTAAAAATTCATTAGATAAAAAAGTGATCAATTTTACGTGACTTACGTATAATGATAGAACATTTCCTTGTGCTGCGCTTTTTTGTAAAATTGCTCATTTGACATCTCGATTTCTTTCACAATATTGAGCAACTTTGTATGTTGCCTTTGAAAAATCACACTTTGTTGATGATAAATATAACTTGTAGGTTTTAACTGGCTTAACTTTCTTACCATACTTTCCATGTTCGTACCAAGTGCCTTTAATATACAAAGCTTCGGGGTGATTGTTTTAACAAGTAAATTAACCCAATGTTTACTTTCTTCGCGAATTTATTGGTTGTAGGGCCTTCTCCAACAGATTCCGTGCCATCGGTTTCATTGGACTTTTTACTAATTAAAAGAAATAATTTTTATGTTTTCAGATTTTTACATATACATGAACAAAACCAATTTAAACTTCTACGCATGCAAGTAAACCAATGGTGAATTTAGTGATCCAGGTCAAGGTGATTTGGGGTATAAATGCGAAATATCGCTAACTTCCTTGTGGCTTTCTTTTTTTCTGGTGTATCTTGCAGCAAAGTTGTGCAGACATTATTTCTTCTAGCTGTATGAACAATTTTTTTGATTTTTTTGGCCATGAATGAATAGAACATCTGCCGGCTCATGTATTTTTTGAGCTCGTCAGTTTGGCTTGATGTTCATTTTTAAGAATTGCGTTAAGCCATGTGAACTGATATTCATTAAGGGATTGTCAATTTTTCTGCGGATCTCTACATCAGACAAACCTATTATGCCATTGAATCAGGGTTGGCAAATTGACTGGTCCATTGCCATTAATAAAGCAATGATGGACACAATGGATCACCAATAGGCCACCAATGGACTACACATTTGCCAACCCTGCATTGAGATATATTGACAACATATGATCTTCTGATTTTTTTTCTTTACCTTGACGTTTAGCTAAAGCTTGAAGTATTTTATTTCGAATTTCCAGGAGACAGGTATGAAAGAAAGTAATTTTTTTAATCCTTTCCCTCAAGCAAGGATAATTGTTATACATAAAAGATAACAAATAACAAAATACCTCTGTAAGATTATTAATTTCTTCACTTTGTTCAACATCAATTGGTCTCTCCCGAATCATTAGATTCATAATATTCAGTATTGTTCCTGCTAATGGTCAGGATGGGAATAATATTTGTATCATGTATTCTTACCCAGATAACTTGCACCGTTTTTTTTTGTATTTGCTATGTCCTCAGGCTTCTGCTTCAGTGAACTCAAATCCCCTTCATTTTTTCTGTGTGTGCTGTTTCTATGAGCTTTAATGCATCCATTTCTATATTTTTGCAGATCGAATCATAGAGTTTACAGTAAAAATGTTAGGATATGTAATATATTCCACTTCTCATTTTCCATATAAATTTTCTTTTTCTTTTTCAAAAAGAAAAAGGATCTAGGGTTAAATGATTGATCTGATGGCGAACAATTTTGTTACGCGACAAAATAGAAAACATTATTATATTATTTTTCAAAAAAAAAAGGAACGATTGATCTGACGGTGAACAAGTCATTATAAATGATAACAACAACATAAGTATTAATAATGATTTCCAACAAGAAACCATTTCAACGACTTCTACTCCAGAAATCGCAATCTCTGAAATTGAAGAAACTAAAAAAAAATCGCCTACAGCATCATCACCATTGTTAAATAAGGAATTTTTGACCCCACCATCAAACGCTACTGGAATATCAAACATCTTATCAACTTCTGCTACAAATACGCCATCATCGCAGCCATCGTCACCTACGCCTACATCTAATTCACTACAACAACAATATCATTATTCTATTTTGTCGCGTAAACAAGATTTTTCACCATCAGACCAATCGTTCAACCCTAGATCCTAATGTTTTCTGTTTCGTCGTGTAATAAGATTGTTCATCAACGGATCAATATAATAATAACAATATGAACAGCTTTATGAAATATTCGTAATTCAAAAATTCCAAAATTCATAATAATTACGAATACCCTTATTCGTTAATATCACTCTTATTTATTTATTTTAATTACTTGTAATTATTATATCATTAATATAATTTGTATAATTAATAAATAAATATATTATTAAATCATTATTACTACTATTACTATTACTTGAATATCCAAATAATCCAAGTTCCAAAATGATTGCAAACATCCATAATGATTACGAAATGAATTTAAATACTGTATATTCGAATATTCGTAAATAGATTGATATCAAAAAACATTGATTTTGGTTAGAAATATTAGTTGCAAGAACCACATTGTGTTGTATGATGAATTAGAAAAAATCAAAATGAAAGAGTCCAAGAGGATTTTTAAGAAAATTGAGGATGGTGAAAATTTTACTTTAATGAAGAAATTGACTTGGCACATATCACATTTCTTGCTGCTAATAAATTACAAGGAAAAGTTGGTTGCAAACCCAAGAAATGAGGTGGGTTTAAAAGAGTTAGAAGGCTACACCGAATAAGAAAAAATGCAAATTTTCGAACTGAAAAGGGAAGAAATGCAAGACACTTACAAATTAGAGAAAGCCGAAATTGGAAAGGTACTCTCAGATAATGTTCTAGATTTTTGATAAATACTTGAATTCAAGAAAGAGGAGATTTTTACATAAAATTATATGCATGACAAAATAATAAACAAATATCCCAAGATGTTAAACAAAAATGAATTGAAAAGAATGTTTTACCTTACTGGTGAAGGCTTTAAATCAAATTGACGGCATCGTTTACTTTTATTAGAATAGCTTGAATATTCAAAAGGTTTTTATTAAAAAAAAAAAGTGCAGCAGAAGAGTTTAAAGTTCATGAGTTTGCTTGTTTGCGGGTCAAAAATTCAATCAAGAATTAGGACAAAATAAAGAACTAGGTAAACAAATGAATTTGATTGATTTCAATAAACACAATCACAAAAATTTAGAATCAATTGAAAGAAATTTATAATGACTCCCGCAATAAAGAACTTATCGAAGCAGGAGAATTTCCTCTTATCTGCTTTAAAAATATTGAAATTATTAGAAAAAAACAAGCCTTAGAGAAAGTTTTACTATAAATTTTTGATGAAAAGTAAGGGAATGGGATTTGTCGCCCACGAAACTGAAAAATTGTCAGACCCGTTTAGATTGGATTAATGCGGATACCGCCCAATCAAAGAAATTCTTTTGGATAAATATTATTATTGATTTTGGCACCTTCAATTTTGCTTTATTGGCTTCGCTACTGATTCCGAAAAAATGTAGGTGGGGCGGAAAAGGAGTGTATACAGTCTACTCTCTCTATAACGACCACTAAGTAAAATTCTCTATAACGAACTTCCCTTTTGTCCCCGTTTCAATTTTTTATAATTAATTTCTCTCTCTATAACGACCAAAAGCAGAGATATTACATATAGGGACGGAGGGTTCGTTATAGAGAGAGTGAACTGTATATTAGTAAAAGAAATGGTGATACAATTGTATGTTTCACACAGCTTTGACCCTGTAATTTCTTTGCGACATAATAATAATAATAATAATAATAATGTTCATTTTAATTTTGTTTGTCTCATACATACCAAGAAATATAGAAAAAGGGCTGAAAAATTTGCCCGAGTTAGACCAAATCCGACTTATCAAGTGACTAACTTTATCGAGTTTACCTGCGTATTACGTGAATATTTTACCCAAATTAAGTAAGATATTCGCGTTTTTCAAATCTTCAGCACATGAGCTCAATTGACTTTCAACTTGGCATTTCCTTTTTGAGGAATGACTTGATACATTCTAGAAAATAACATTTTTCTATATGGAAAAAGAAAGTTTTAATTTAAGTGCAAAATTTGTATTACAGGGCTCATTATTATATTATTAGTAATAATAGTAATAGTAAACAAAAAAATAAAACAATAGTAATAGTAATAATAATAAATTAATATTTGTATTAGCATAGAAAAACCACCCGATGGAAATTTTGTTACTGCGTGCATAATTAAAAAAAAAATTTTTCTCCTATTCTGGTGACAATAATAATAATTATAAAGCTTGCTACGACTTTTACATTCTTCTATAAAAAAAAAAATTTTTTTCAAAAATAGTATATATAGTCTCGATTATACATTTAACTCCACAAAAAATCAGTTATTATTCAAATCAATCAATCAATCAGTCAATCAATCAATCAAATTTCAACTTTAATACAATATGTTTTTTACAAAATTTTTAATAAAAGATTATAATAGAGCAGAAGAATATGACGATGTTGATGATGTTACAATTGATATTTTTGTATCAATTTGCAAATATCTTGATTCTTACGAATTGTTAAAGTTGGAATGTGTTTGTACAAAATTCTGTGACTATTTACGTTCAAAACGTCCAGCTATTGAAATGTTATGGAAACATTCAAGAAATGACGATGATGATGATAAAACTTTGAGTGGAATGTCAGAAAGAGATTACGCTAAATTATTGTGTATTAAAAATGGATGTCAAAAATGTAGAGAAGTTAATGACGTTTGTGTTTATTTTATACCAAGAGTACGTCTTTGTAAACCTTGTTTAGCACAAAATGTATTCAGGTAATAATATTTATAATTTTATTAATATTTTAGTTAATAATATAATAATCATAATAAAATTAATAATACTTTTTTTTAAATATAGAGAGAAGGATTTTATTGATTGTAATAAAGATATTTTAAAAGCAATTCCTACAGTATGCCATCAAGACCCTTGGGGAAAAGGAGAAAAACACTATTGGAAACTCGATTATTATAGAATGGAGAAATTGTTTGAATTGTCAGGCGATGATGAAAAAAAATCCAAATTACTTGAAGAGAAAGAAAAAGAATCAAAGTTAATAATTAAAGATGACGAGGAAAGACATAACAAAATAATGAAAAAGATTATTATTATCAACGATAAGGAGAAAGAAGATATTAATATAATAAATTCACATGATATTGAAGAAACTGAACAACTAATGATAGAATTAGCTACCAGGTTATCATTAGGTGAAACTGTAAATCATTATTTGTTCTCAAACGGGGAAAACGAAATTGAAAGTGATGATAATGGACCTAATAACGATGACAGTCTTGATTCCTCCATTGATTCGGATTCCAATGATGATGATGTTGATGATGTTGTTGATGATGTTGTTGATGATGATGATGATGATGATGATGATGATGATGATGATGATGATGATTACCTTGGATTAAATTTAGGATTAAGAACAAGATGGGATATTATTCGAGAAGCTCAGATTATTCAATCTTTTAATCAAGAATCGCCTGATGATGATGATATAGAAGAAAGTGACGACGATGATTATAACTATATAGCCGAATCTATTTTAAGAAATTCATATATGAATTTTACTTCTTTATTTTCCAATGATGATCATTTTCCAAATCCTGATGACTCTGATCTAACACCACCAGGAACAATTATGCAATTACCATCAGTAAACAATATTATTAATGATGATGTTTCTCCATTTGGACATTTAAATTTTGGCGGAGAATCCTCAATTACTCTTGGGTTTTTGTATAGAGGTTTGTCCTTGTCACCTAGAAAACAACGACAAAAGTTCATTTTATCTTGTCTAAAAGATAGAACACGAACATATCAACGATCACCATCAAACAACTCTATTGAGATATGGCATCCTATCTATGAATTTCTTGATTTACTTCCATCATTTATAAATCCGCAATTTTTCATTGCCAATAATAAGAATTGGGTGAATAAACATATTGTACCTAAACTTTTACAAGAAGCAACTAACGTACAACGAAAAGCTAAGTTAGTCGGTGGTCCTGGTCATATCACAACAGTTAAAGGTGCTTTGAATCATGGCAAATTAAAGGACTCGCCTGTATTTTTTTGTGTTCTATGTAATATACACAGATTGAATACTTACGAAACTATACAAAATCATTTAGCTAGTAATCATGATCATGATGGTGATGGTGATGGTAATAATATAGGCGTAGATAGTGATATTGTTGTTGACCATTTTGATGAAGCCTTCTTATAACTACAATTAATTAATTATTATTATTAGTTATTATTTTATAAAGTAGAATAATTTAAAAATTTTTATTATTATTATATTTTTTTATATATGTATTATAGCAAACTATTAATCATCACTCGTGTATACTATTTCTTTTTTGTATTTCCTTACTATAAATAAATAAAAAATATTATTAATCGTGAAAGCAATTCCATTGTCTGGTATTGTTGTATTTATATATGCTTTAAATTTCGTTGACGATCCCCAAAAATCAAAAATTAATATTAATAATATAAATTCAGAGTTAGACGGTTGATAAATAATAACGTCATGCATAGTAAATAAATAGATAACCATGATGAAATTGTCACATCACTAATAAAAATAAATATGTAAGAAAAATTAATTTGTCTTGATAACAAAAAAAAAAAATGATTCTAGAAAAAAACAATAATAATCAAGCACATCAAGAACAAGCGATACGAGAAACAAGAACATCAAGATACAATAAACCGATGGCAAAAATAACAGCTCTTGATCATTTATCATTGTCACAACGTATGATGCGAATTTTCAAAGGAATGCCACCAGAAGGTTATCCGTTGGCTATAGTTATTGTTGGAGGATTAAGCGGCGGTGTATTTGCACTTACACACAGTTATTTGAAACATCGAAAATTGTCAAGAAATTTAGATTAAAGTTTCTCTTCTCTTGAAAAGAGAGAATTTTCTTGTTAAAATAAAAATAAAAAATTTTCTTTTTGTAGTATTTTTAATTAAATTTTTTTTTCTACAAAATATTTTCGAATTACAAATGAATGTATCGAAAAAAATATATTTTTACAAAGAACGATAATTAAAATTAGTCTATACAAATAAAAATAAAAGGTACTAAAAACTCTCAAATATCTAATTGTTCCATACACACACAAATATCATTACACACACACATACATTAGAATTAAGTGTTACGAGGTTTACAAACAATGCTAGAATTATCAGTTTGACATATTAATACACCAGGACAATTTCTTGTTACTATTTTACCATTATCACAAGTTTCGAATGCTGGACTAGTTCCAGATTTAACACATGTCATTGATCCATTAACCTTGCAACCTTTATTGCTGTTGTCGTCATTTGATGGTGCTTCAGTTGGCGCGGCTGGTTCAGAAGTTGACGGTGATGTTGGTGCGGCTGGTTCAGAAGTTGATGATGTTGTTGGGGCATCGGGTTTTGATGGTTTTGTAAGCTTTGGTTTCTTTGGCTTATCATTGTTGTTATTATCACCACCAATGTTAAGTTTTAAATTTGCTTTGACATCTTTTGCAAGTGGGCCGGATCCTTTTGTATTGCCGGTATTAGCATCATCACCTTCAGGTGTTATTATTTTAGTGAATAAAGGTGGGAAATTTGCTTTTGTAATATCAATGATTGGCAATGGTTTTGTTGAATTTCCGACAATTTTAATATCAGCACAATTTTGATAAAATTCACGATTACCAACGGCATTGATCCAAGACCAAGAGAAAATACATTTTCCAGGTTTATTACAACTGGGGGCACTATCGGGTATTTTAACTTTCCATCCGGTAAAGAAAATATCAGGACAAGTTTTATGATAAGTTGCTATCTTTGTGTAAGTATTACCACCATCATAACTCAATGCAAATTCGCACAGTCCACCATTGTGTCTTGCTTGATCAACCGAGGGGTCTGCTTTCGATGGATCAGGAGCATTTTGATTAAAGAACTTGACATCAATCACTTGACCAGCTTTAAATGTTGTAACAACTTTTTTATCAGCTGGATAGCCGCCACATGGAAATTTTTTCTTGGGACATGGTCCACCACCATTCAATGGAGCCATTATACATTCTAGATCTTTAATTGCTGCATTAGGGTTTAATGGATGAGCTCTTGGAGGAGGGAAGGACATGGTTGTGTGTGCACTAACTGAAGCTACCAATGCTGTAAGAAAAGCAATTCCAATAGAAAACTTCATTTTTGGAGAAGAAAAAGATGATTGTGGTGTGTGTTTGGAAAAGAAAATTTGTATTTTATAAGAGGATTAGAGAGAAGTTTTCTACTAGCCTGCTAGTTAAAAAATAATGTGTATGTGTGTTTATTATAAATATATTATATATATTATAAACCCAGCCTGGGGTTTTATTAGAAAATTGAGAGAACGAGTGCGTACGATATTTTAGATATTTGTAGAGAGATTAGTACCTGATTTGTATGTGAGAATTTCCCTCAAGGTAAAAAAATGATGTATTTATATATTTTGCAATTCATAATTTAATATAAATATTTATCCTATATTAAGAAATTTATATTTGATTTGAAACCTTTTTTTTTCACACTAGAAGTACAAAACCGGTCGTGAAATAAACAATACATATATGCGATTCGATCTCTCAAGCAAATAATATGAATTATTTTTATTTCCTTTGTTGACCAAAACTTTAATAGTTATTATTGTAAAATATTAATATTATTCTATTTTGGTAAAACTCAATGTGAATGTTAACAATTTGGGAATTTTATTCTTTGTTAGGAATTTGCAATTTAACACAAAGACTATAAATAAAGATTAAATTTTTTATTTGTGTTCTGAAACCAATTCATTGTCGCACAAAGTAAATTTTTGTATTCTACTATGAACAAAGTCATTAAATTCCATTTATTGTATTTGTATGCCACGATTTTCGGCCAAGACTGTATCAAATGATGATTACCCGGATTAGTAATAAATGCAAAATTAATATCTTATCTACGTAGATTATTTGATAAATTGTGGAGTTTTATTCAATAATATAAAAAAAATTCGAATAATTAATCAATTAATCAATATTTTCAAATCCCAATTCAAGCATTTTTTAATATTAAAATTCAATTCTTCTAGTAAACATTATTCTAGTCGATATTTCACCAATGCAATTTCCAAATCTTTTATTCAAGTATTAATTTGTCCTTGCTTTTCTTTTTTCAACTCTCTGGAACTAATGATTAATCGTATTCTTGTAGCCTCAGGAGTACCACTATTAATATTAATATTGTTGTTGTAGTCGTTGTTATTATCATAACTATGATTATAAATGGAAGATTGTCTAATACAACTATGGCTGGTGTTGTTGGTTTTTTTATGAGTTCTTTTTACTCTTTTATTTAGAGAATAATTTGCTAATAAAGATGATCTACCGCTTTTCTTATTGTATTCGTCTGAACTAGAACTTTCTTCTTCTGTCACAAATTCCATGACCTTCTCAATAATTAATTAATTAGATGTCGAATTATTTGAATAGATGAATTTCTTATCAACCAATCAAATTCACTCATTCATTCATTCATTTACCTCTTCGTAATTAAAACTTGAATTAGAAAATATTCGATCTTCTTGGATTATTTCTTTCTTTCTCTTATCTTGTTGTGATAAAGGTTTTAAATATCCACTAAATCCATGAATAAGATTGCCACCTTCTTCCAAGTATGAGCTTTCATTTGTATAAATCTTTTTTTCAATCGTCATCTAATAAGAAGCACACTATTAATAATAGATTAAAATATTAATTAGTAGGAAAAAAAAAAAATCTTACTAAACTATCTTCTAAATTTTCCCTTCGTTTCATCAATTCATCAAGTTCTGCTTCAGCTTCCTCATATACCTGTCTAGTAACTAATGGCGGTGTTGTGGTCGTTGTTGTGGTCGTTGTTGTTTTTAACTTAACAAATGAAATAAAATAAAATATTATTATTATAACACTAATTGACGAAAATAAATAATGCTTGTTTGGAATTTTTCATATACCAAAATATTATCACTAACATCAGGCATTTTTATTTTATTTTCTTAAAAATGATTTTTTTTTTAATGTTTATGTTGGAAATATTGTGAAACAATGACATCATTATGGTTGTTATCATATTATCATGTGATATAAACGTTGATCCGTAATTTTAGGGAAATTGTATTTATTAGGATAATCTATCAAATGGCTAATGCTAATGATATTAATTATTACCAAGATCAGATACAAATAATACCTACATTCATGCCTTTTAATTTATCTTTACAAATAAATATTAATTCCCTAGTACTAGATTCGTTAATATTAGACAATTTGAAAATAAACAACACCCCCATTTTCCACCATTAGATTATCATTTTTATTGGATGATGATTAATGTGTGGGAGTTTTTTAATTTATAAATATAAATGAATTATTTTACCTAAACCATTTGCATAAGATAAAACGCATTTTTAGAAATAATAAAAATTCTCTGCAATGATCTGTTTGTCTGTTTTAGCATGATCAATTATTCTCAAGTCTCAAAATAATAATTTCGGCAATTTTTTTAAGAATTATACATTTTTTCATATTAAATTTTAATTTCCCAATTAAAATGTTTGGATATATTTATAAAACAACTAGATCTTGACTATTCTAATGGTTGTTGTTTTGTTGCTATAAGGTTTATAAAAAAATCGGGACCAAGAAAAAAGACCTTAACAAAACGTGCCTTTACAGGGTGTGTATCATATGGTAGTAGTTAGTATTAGTTAATTAAAATAGTTAAATATGGTTCTGCAACTAGGAGGTTGCAACTTGCTGTAAGCCTGCAACTTTAATCATTATAAACTGATCAACACAAATAAAAGATTTAACATTTGTCGTGTCATGATCTCCTTCCAAAACCGCAAGTCGTGCGACTTTCTCGTCGATTGTCTCCTTTTGCGTCTAGCCGCGCCTGGTCTTTTCGGTTTTTGGCGCGATCAACGTTTTCACCATATTTAGCAAAGAATGTGTCGTACGGCAAATGTTTTGTTTTATAAAACAGGTTACAATTGCAAAGATCTGCTAATTTTTTGGGAAGGAATTTTTTTGTTTTCGTCAAAAAAAATTTTTTTTATACGTGATTCTTTTTCTTTCTTTGATGATCAATGAATGTGAATACCTTTTTTCCACATGAACATTTATCGTGCAATAGCAATAAATATCTTTTTCTCCAACTTTTGGTAAGAATAAAAAATTTGTTTATTACATTTAAGAGCTATTTAATAATTGAATTCATTGTTGTTTTTTGTTAGTTATTTATTATATGCTACTTTTTGGTGATGGCGAAGCATCTTTCTTTTTTTTCGTTTAATATTTAGTTAGTGTGATGAAGATCATACTGTTGATTTGTTTATTTTACTTTTATAAGAAAAGCATCAGTCTATTATTAAAACCATTTTTACTATTGTTATCACTTGTCCTGTTTTTTTTTGGATTGTACCATTGATTTGTTTACTTTTTAAGAAAAGTGTTATGCGTTTAGTTTAATTAATTTTCTATTACTAAAAATGCTAAAAAACATTTTACGATTTACACAAATTATCATTTGTCCTGTTTTTTTGGAACGTACCATTGATTTAGAAAAGCATTATTATGTGTTTAATTAATTAATTATTGGTTTATTACCCAAAAATGCTATCACATGACCCATTTTTTTTTTTAAGAAAAGCATTATGCATTTACAATTGAATTGATTATTTGTTTGTTACTAAAATGTTTTGACCACGTCTGTACATTCATTTTGCAAATATGGATTGCAAGCTTTGTAAATCTTGACTTTAACACTTACTTTGATCAAACCCGTCTATAATTATTGAATAATTGATAAAACATTCATTTTGCAAACTTGATTTGTAAATTTCATAGACCTTGACTTTAACACTTACTTCAATAAAACCCGCCTATATGATTATTGAATAATTGATGAACTTTCATTTTGCAAGCTTCATAGATCTTGCCTAACACTTACTTCGATCAAATCCGCCTATACGATTATTTAATAATTGATAAAGTGTTAATTAAATATATTTTACAAACAGCTTCATAGACCTCGGCTTTAACACTTACTTCGATCAAACCCACCTATATGATTATTGAATAATTGATAAAACGTTCATTTGTAAAACTTGATTTGCAAACTTCTTAGATATTGTATTTAACACTTACTTTGATTGCGCCTATACAAACTATTGAATAATTGACAAATTTTCATCAGCATATTTTACAAACTTCTTTGGAAGCTTTCTACATTGACATACATCTTGTATTTAACATTTACTTCCACTAACTCGCAACCTATCATCAACTCTACTTTTTTCTATTGAATTATTTTGAATTTTTATTTTTTAGGTTACGCAGAATTACACGATAAAAATTATGGAATAGAATTTGTCCAATGAAATGTTGTAAACTGTATAAATCCCATGCACAACTTGAAAACAGTTGGTATATAAGTATACATGCAGCCAAAGTATTTTGACACTGTCATAAAGGAGGATACACATGTAGTAAAGGGGTGTTACACTTATGTTTTTAATAGTGAATGCCATAATTAATTTCTACTTTCTACCATTAAAATTGGGATAATTTTGACCATCAAAATCACCAAATCAATTTGGGCTGCATGTATATATATAAGACTCATTTTTCCATTACTAGTACTCATCTCGGAGTACAACCATGTGGCTCACTTAAATGTGTTATTAAAGTCCAGCAAGTGAGATAGTGAAACTCTTGCTGGGTGTATTGACCCTTCGTGACATGACCTCTCTCTTTTGTTAATTTTTATTGTTTATTTTATTTAGATAAAATTCATTAATTGATTTGATTGGTTACATTTGTTAATATATGATCCATCAATTATGAGAAAGCGTTATTATTATAGCAACAAGTAACAAACAACAATGAATCATTATTTTTTGAGGATGATAATGAAGATTAAGATCCGATTTTGCTACATGAAGTACTCAAATTTTTCAAAAAACGTGTGGGGACGGCTTTCCTATTTGGATTTAATAAATAGGCTACTGTCTTGGCCTGAGTGATGTTGTTTTTTTGCTCTTTGCGACAAAGATGCAATCCCAAACCCAACTTAAAATAAATGAATTTTTGTTCTTGAGTAGGATGGTGTGGATGGTTGGTAACACACAAAGCAAAAGCTTACATTGCGTTCTCAGTTGTGAGCTTGTTTGTTTTTATAAAAAAAATCTTTAATTAAATTTTAACCAATAAAAATAATACTAATAAAAGATAATGTTTTTATTTAACGGTAAAAGATAATGGCAATAGTAGTATTAAAAGATAATGTTGTTTTATCTAAAATAATAAATAGTATTTAAAAATAAATATGGTGCCAACCACCTACACTCCACCTGCAAAAGTATCCGGATACTTTTGGCAGGTGAGTGTAGAGTAATCAACATTCCGAAATTTTAAATCTTCACGTGATTTGTCAAGTGAAAACATTTTTATTGGTCAAAATACCAAAATTATTTATCTCAAAGAAATTTACAATATATAAAAAATAATAATTAATATAATGATAAAACAAAAAGAAATCACTTGGCTTATTCTAAATTATTAAATTCTAGTTTTTTCTAATTCTTTTAAAACTCCATCTGGGATCTTTCTATGTGATCTGTACTTTCTTACAGCATATTCTACTAATTTTCCACCTATTCCATGTCTATATAGATCCATGTATCTCCATGCTTTTTGGGCAAATCTTCTAACTCAAATTTTTCAAAAAACGTGTGGGGACGGCTTTCCTATTTGGATTTAATAAATAGGCTACTGTCTTGGCCTGAGTGATGTTGTTTTTTTGCTCTTTGCGACAAAGATGCAATCCCAAACCCAACTTAAAATAAATGAATTTTTGTTCTTGAGTAGGATGGTGTGGATGGTTGGTAACACACAAAGCAAAAGCTTACATTGCGTTCTCAGTTGTGAGCTTGTTTGTTTTTATAAAAAAAATCTTTAATTAAATTTTAACCAATAAAAATAATACTAATAAAAGATAATGTTTTTATTTAACGGTAAAAGATAATGGCAATAGTAGTATTAAAAGATAATGTTGTTTTATCTAAAATAATAAATAGTATTTAAAAATAAATATGGTGCCAACCACCTACACTCCACCTGCAAAAGTATCCGGATACTTTTGGCAGGTGAGTGTAGAGTAATCAACATTCCGAAATTTTAAATCTTCACGTGATTTGTCAAGTGAAAACATTTTTATTGGTCAAAATACCAAAATTATTTATCTCAAAGAAATTTACAATATATAAAAAATAATAATTAATATAATGATAAAACAAAAAGAAATCACTTGGCTTATTCTAAATTATTAAATTCTAGTTTTTTCTAATTCTTTTAAAACTCCATCTGGGATCTTTCTATGTGATCTGTACTTTCTTACAGCATATTCTACTAATTTTCCACCTATTCCATGTCTATATAGATCCATGTATCTCCATGCTTTTTGGGCAAATCTTCTAATTGTAATCAAAGGCACAGAATCCAAGCTTTGGGGAACAGTTTCTTGAAATCCAGTCCATGAGTAATTGCAATTTTCTCTGGCATGACATTTAGCAGCTCCCCAATACCTTTCAATGAAATTTACTCAAATTTTTCAAAAAACGTGTGGGGACGGCTTTCCTATTTGGATTTAATAAATAGGCTACTGTCTTGGCCTGAGTGATGTTGTTTTTTTGCTCTTTGCGACAAAGATGCAATCCCAAACCCAACTTAAAATAAATGAATTTTTGTTCTTGAGTAGGATGGTGTGGATGGTTGGTAACACACAAAGCAAAAGCTTACATTGCGTTCTCAGTTGTGAGCTTGTTTGTTTTTATAAAAAAAATCTTTAATTAAATTTTAACCAATAAAAATAATACTAATAAAAGATAATGTTTTTATTTAACGGTAAAAGATAATGGCAATAGTAGTATTAAAAGATAATGTTGTTTTATCTAAAATAATAAATAGTATTTAAAAATAAATATGGTGCCAACCACCTACACTCCACCTGCAAAAGTATCCGGATACTTTTGGCAGGTGAGTGTAGAGTAATCAACATTCCGAAATTTTAAATCTTCACGTGATTTGTCAAGTGAAAACATTTTTATTGGTCAAAATACCAAAATTATTTATCTCAAAGAAATTTACAATATATAAAAAATAATAATTAATATAATGATAAAACAAAAAGAAATCACTTGGCTTATTCTAAATTATTAAATTCTAGTTTTTTCTAATTCTTTTAAAACTCCATCTGGGATCTTTCTATGTGATCTGTACTTTCTTACAGCATATTCTACTAATTTTCCACCTATTCCATGTCTATATAGATCCATGTATCTCCATGCTTTTTGGGCAAATCTTCTAATTGTAATCAAAGGCACAGAATCCAAGCTTTGGGGAACAGTTTCTTGAAATCCAGTCCATGAGTAATTGCAATTTTCTCTGGCATGACATTTAGCAGCTCCCCAATACCTTTCAATGAAATTTAACTCACAGTGAAATTTTTGGTAAAAGATACATTTATGCCCTGCCCTTTCAATCAACTCCTGAATTGCATCTTTTTGTGCTTGAAAAACTGGTTCAAGGGAAATGATTTTTTGTGCACAGCAATTCACTCTAGCTTCATCTGCAACTTTTTTTTACAATTTTTACATTCAGCTAACAACCCTTCATGCCATTTCACTCTCTCAATTAATATTTGTTTCATTCCTTTAGGTTCTCCACATAATGATTCTACAGAATAGTCACCTGGAAAAACCATATCTTGTGATTGATTATTTGGCCCAAAAAAGTCTGTTGCATTTTAGGCTGCTTGCCACCAAGACCAAGATTCATTTGTGAAGCCACAAGTGCATCTTGACTAAATGCAGCATGGTTTGAACTGTTATCAAAAGCAAATACTGCAATACAATTAGGATATAGGGCCTCAAATATTGGAATTGCTTTTTGTCCAATATGTTGAAGAGGATGTTCAGAGGTCCAGTAACCTTCTCTATTTTTGTCAGGTTTTAAATAACAATGTGCTTCTTTTGGAATGCTTGGATATTTTTCAACTTCATCAAATGGTATTTGTAATCTTCCATTTATTTCAGTTAAAAATTCACCAACTAATATTGACCTTCCATTATCTTTTTTCCTTGAGGGCATTTCTCCATCTTTGATACAAATACCATGCTTTCCATCATTGAATGGAAAATGCACTCATCATGAGTAACAAGTATTCTCTTTTTCTCCTTCTGTCAAATTAGGCTGTACACAATCTATATTTTCACCTTCATACTTTGACATAAATTTTTCATGCTCAAAAACCTCTTCCAAAAATTTTTTACAATACTGAACACCGCCATCACGTTCATGACCATCATAATAAATGCCTAGATGATATCTTTGATATGAATATCCCAAAATATTAAGCCAATGTCTTGCTGTTGTCAAAGATATTGTCTTTTTCTTGGCAATTCCAATATTTGTCAATAAATCTTTGTTCTATATATTTGTCACCAATTAATTTTGGGAGAGTGTGTTTTAATTGATGATAACAAATTTTTATTATTTTATGTGGATCAGAATGAATAGGCTAATACTAATGAATTAGATTGATTAGTGAATAATTTTGTTTTAGTGATTTGATAAAAATGATTTATTTAATTTTGTATTTAGTCGAAACTAATTATTAACTTATTATTAAGTTAATTTGTTACAAAGTTATTCTTTGATTACAGCAAATTCTCATTCCTTATATACATGTTTGATTATATGTATCCTAGTTTAGGATAATTAGCCTAGATTAAGATATTTATCCTAATTCAAGATAATTCTCCCAAGTTAGGATAATTCTCTCTTTCTAGGATAATTATCCTTCTTTGTACACAGGATAATTCTCCTAATCTAAGATATATATCCTGATTCAGGATAATCTTCATTAATTTCTACTAAATAAAGGTCTAATGCGAATGTGTTACTAATTAATTACTTCTGCGGAATGTAACACGAACTCATATTAATATAATTAAATTGAATCATTCGGAAATTATTACAAAATAAAAATAGGATAAAATAAAATTAAAAATAAATAATAGATGAAATAAATAACTAAAAATAAATAATGAATAACTAAAAAATAATAAATAAATAAATAAATAATATAGATAATATAAAAATAAGATATAAAATATTACTCCGGATTTTCGGGGTTATTGATCAGCGAATTAAGGTCCAATTCGCATTCCGGTGACATATTCTTTTTTAAATTTAGGAGCAGTGACATTGAAATTCTGTTGACGCACCCAGCTTTGACACTTTTTTGCAATATCCTCATCATCTACAAGTCTAATTGTTTTTTTATGTTTACCTTTATTTGATAGTGGAAGTTTATTATACCTTAACCAGTAATTAGTAATCTTACAAATTTGATGTGTCTTCCAAGGACTACCATCAACATATACCAATTTTGCTACTTCCAAACTGGATTTTACTTTGTTACATTGTTCTTTTCAACAGATTTCAAATATTCATATATGGATCTCTTTTTATTATACTCATCAGCTATCATATTATGCCCTTTATCCAATTCAACTTTTAAGTCCTTTATTTCTTTGTCAATACTATTATTAGACCATATATTATCATCAGATCCACTTGAACTTTCTATTAACTCAAGATTTTCATTTATTTCTGAAGATGGATCATTATGAACTGGAAATTAGGTTGTAATCTTACTTGCACTAGCTTTATAAATAAGCCATTTGGGCCCCATTTATCATAAAATGTTGATTTTGGAACTTTACCTTTCATACATAGTTGGCTCGATCTAAAGACCTCCTAAATTTTAGGCAAATTTTAAAAGTATAGAAGTCACTTTCTGTCCTACCTTTTAAAAAAATAGCTCTATTAGTTGATAGAATATGCCCTTAGTTTTAATGTAATAGAGAGATTTTCGTAAAAAAACTATTTGTTGTAGAGTTCTATTCTTTTTTAAAAACATATACTTTACTATGTTCACAAGGAATTTGTTCACTATGATCATTTCCAAATTTAGGAAAAATATTACCAAATTTAGACTAGCCATTGACTATCTTATCTAAATTTGACAGTAAGAAAACTAAAATCACGTGAAGTACTATTTTTTGAAAAATTTGACTGCGTGGCGCAGCAATAGGAGTCTTTAGACTGAGCCAACCATATAAGCCTCTTTTCTTTTTTTTCCAATTCATTATTGTTGGTCCAAGTCAATTCAAGTTTTGAACTAATTAGTCTATCTCTACATTTTTTCTCTTGTTCTAAATCTAAATCATTTTCCCATCCACTATCCTCATCATCACCCCATTCACCTTCTTGCAGCTCAATTTCTTCCATATCATTATCCATAAATGTTTGAAAATTGCTTACCTCAACATCTTTTAATAAATTCAAATTAATTTCACACCAGAGTTAACTTCTATTTTTGATTTTTTTGAGCCAAACTTCCCATTTAATTCTCTTGATTGATTTTTGTTTTGAAGCTAGAGGCATTTTTAAAATTCAAACTCAGTCAAATAATAAAAATAAAAATATATGGTTTATTCAGATGTGCGTATTACATAAAAGAATCAGGCATCCCTATTGGACAGACATAAATTTGCCCCTGAAAATCTAGTCCGAAATTTTACAAACAATTAATAAAATACCCCAACTTTGAACTCTAATAACTTTTTCAAAAATTATGTTAATACAGAAAGTAAACTGATAAAATAAAAGAACATTTCTCATTCTTTCAGCTTATCAGTTTACTTTTTGGCTGTAACACAAATTGAAGTGCTAGATGCAGTTAGAAGTTATGCTATAATTGTTGATGACTCTAAATGATTGGCACCATGGTGATCAGTGGTGCAAAAAGGGTAAAAAATTGTCAGTTGATAACAGTGTTGTGACCCGAAACTCTGAGTTTAGGGAAAACCAGAAACAGAAACTAACAGAAACCAGTTTAGGTTAGTGGTTTATGTTTAGGTTTAGTTTTAGTTTTAGTTTTCTGCTTAGTGTAAGTTCATTTTCCAAAATGTTTCGGGAAGCCAAAAGAGTTTCTGGTCACAACACTGGTTGATAATGTTTAACAAATAATAAAGCACAATGTTTTGGCATAACAAACTTTACTCTTTTTATGTATGTATAAAGTCACATAGATTATTGTATCAAAATATTAAAGGGCTTGTAATGTTTCTTGAAAACTTTTATATGTAGGAAGCTGAGATTCAAGAAGTTCATAACATAAAAATTTGTAATTTTTTAATTTCCAGCCAACACTATCAAGTATTCTGACCAGAGCTATACATTTTTTTTATCGGTTTATCAACAAAAAACTTTTATTTTACCAAGTGAACCACATGTTGTTATAAGTCAAGCTAATAAAATAACTAAAAAAGAATTTTAAAGTAGTATTCAATGATCTTGAAAGAATTCTAGGGTTGTTCTTTATACTTTTTGTGTAGACATGAGAGTTAATGTGTGAGGACAGTGAGATTTGGGAATTTTCTTATTTTATTAATAACAAAATTTTATATTAAAATGTCAATCATTTCTCTGATTCATTCATGAATCAGCAATTAAATTTTGTTTAAGTTATAGATAAATCGAAATTCATTATTAAAATTTTTGATCATCTGATTTTAATCCCTTTTCTGGCCACCAAAACTATTTCTGGCTTATAAAACACATACAGTGCAAATCATCTATAATCATTAATTGCTTATAGTAACAATTGGTCAACTTCAAAATACTAAAACAAAAAAAAATTATATCAT